CCAAGACAAACTTATAGGTTTATCCTTGTCTATTGCAAATACTCTCACACACTATAAACTTATCTTTTTTTACATTTTGTCACACTAGAATCACAACCTCCCATGCATTTTGCATGGATTATATGTAAAACACATTGCTTTACATTACTGTACCTCACAGACTCAAGTCTTTTGCAGCCCAATAAATATAACTCCAATCATCTTGTCATTGGAGTCAATCAGCTTTCCTGTTGCTGCTAAAAAAAAAAAAGACCTGACTGCATGATGCTGCCACTGTTTCCTTGCCAGGATGTCCTGTTATCGATGATACTAAGCATTACGTTTGCCACAGATTTAGGTATCATTGAGATAACCTGGCCATGTTTCTGCTGGTCTGTTTCTGTTTGGACAACAGCTGCAACTTTATGGGTTCTAGAATAATGAAAAAAAGGCTTTTGATCGACAAAAATTCATTTTTTAGTAGAAAACTAGAAAAAAACGTTGAGTAAAAGCAGCACAGTTTCGAAATATTGTGGTATTAAAGAAATCATTATAAAAATGTTGTCTCACGCTGATATTTAGATTTGGATAGAACTGGATAAAAATATAAATAAATACATGCTAAATATTTGGTGGTTAGTGGTCAGGCTTTCTGCTCTGGTGACTAGCCTGCATTATACAGCGTAACAGATCTGCTGCTTGTAACTTAGCAACTGTCACTTTGAAACAGGGTTATTGCACTAAGGGCCGGATTTATCAAAGGTTTGCGTGTATTAAAACGTGAGCTATTTCACTGCGCACGCAAAAAAATGTACAAACTGATCTATCAACAGCGTGCTAAAAGGATTTGGTCTTTAAAACGTGCTAAATAGCGTCTCTTATCCATTTAGTACTTTTTCTGCAATGAATATTCAATATAGGGCGTTTACACGCAAAAGTGCGTCTTGTGGGAGGATAACATGTAAATATATTAATTTAGCACTCGCAAAGTGATTTATCAAACCTGAAAGCAATTTTGCTAACGGTATCTGACTCTATATTTAACACGTTTCAAAAGAAGGTGCAAATGGTCTGTATGCGTAATTGCGCACACATGGCAGCGGTTATTGTCGCAAGAAGGAGAAATCGAAATGAAGCAAGGAGACGCAGAGAACGCATTTTTTCACTCCGTGTGAATATTTTTGGAATGAACGAGGAAACGATCATCAAAACATATCGTTTATCCAGCATTGCCATTTTGGAGCTGTTGGGGGAACTCCGAATGGATTTGGAGCCAGGCACAAGGAGGACCCACGCAATACCAGATATCACGAAACTCCTTGCAACATTGCACTTTTTTGCATCTGGGATCTCCCAATCTCGTTTTTCAGAAGTGCTGTCCGACGTTCTAAATGCCATGTCGCCCTGACTACCGGAGAACCCCGACACCCTGCGCCTGTGGAGCAACATGCCAATGCAGTCATCTTATCCACAGTCACTTCTTGTGAGCCATTTGGTATGTGCATTTTTCTACAGGCCGATAAAAAACACCTGTTTTATTTTTGTTTGTGTGTTTTTTTCTTACTGCGGTGAAGTAGAAATTCAGCCACATACCACCTTAGGGAATAAAGGTTGCCAAAGTTTATATATATATATATATATATATATATATATATATATATATATATATATATATATATATATATATATATATATATATATATATATATATATATATATATATATATATATATATATATATATATATATATATATATATTTCTTTTTTTGGAGGGGGTGGTGTCACTGTAAGATTAAAATTTCTTAATGCACTAGTTTGCACAAACTACAAACTACTTTGCCGCAAACCACAAAACGCGCAAAACCATCATTTAAATAGGGCGTCTCCAACAGTTTTGCGCCTGCCACCAGTTACGCAATCGCTCTTGTTAAATCACCCGCAAACCATGGTTCAGCCCCTCGCGCAAAATTCCAGTTTGCGAGCGCAAATTACTGCACGCAAAATTGGATCTTGATAAATCCGGCCCTAAGTGTGATGGGTGGCGCCTCTTTGTCTCCATACTCTGATCTTGTGTTTCTGTGTTTCCTAGAGGCCAAAGTGTTGTATAGTCTTTTTCAGCCATCTGACCCCCAGTGCACAGCAAGAGGCACTTAGATGCGCTGCTACATTATTTATGCTTTATAAAGCTGGAGAAAACTGTGGTCACACCACACCCATTCATAGGGTTATCAAAGTGTGCATTTTTTTTTAAGAGGAAAGTGACTAGTGAAGCATAAAAATAGTTGTCCTTTCACCAACTTTCAACGGGAACAAGAAACGAACGCCTCATTCTGCAAACTTCTAGCCTTTTTGTAGCTTTATTAAAGGAGTAAGTTCAGGATTTTAAGTGCTTAGTTTAGGTGCTGACTACAACATATTTTAAAGTCTTTTACTTTATCCTACATCATCTAGAAAGTAGCCAGATAGTAAAAGATTTAAACACATAAGTTGGCGAACATCTCCCTTTTAAAGCAGCTGCTTTTAGGTTATGATAGACTTAAAAGCACACATTTAAAAATAGCTCATAGCTACCAAGTAGCTACCAAAGCCCAGAGCCATTTGGCCTGAGCACGTCGTGTCAAGTTAACTCTTTTGTTTTTAAACTGTGTGTAACTGAACGATTCAGCTTTAATGGTGTTCTATTTCAGGAGAGTTATCTTTGGGGAAGCAACATTCATATACAAATCTACTTCTTTCTAATTAGAACTGAACGTTTAAGTAAAATGAAACAGAGCAAATATATGTTTGTATTTCGAATTTATCCACTAAGAAGGAAATAGCCACCTGAAGCTATATGAAGAAATTAAAATTAAAAGAAAAAAAATTAAGAAGAAAGAAACTGTCTGACAACATGAGGTAGACGGGAAGATTGTAAAACAACATCATAGAGGCATTACACAGCTAAGGATGATCTGTGGCTATGCTTGATATGCTGTGGATCAGTGAGACAAAAGGGAAAAAATTACAGCTGGTATGGATGTTAAATATATTTTAGAGAAAAATAATGTCTTTATGTGGTTTAGTCAAAGTTAGGTCTGATATAGATGCTGTAACAAGACCTTAAGCAACCTTCTAAGGTGCCTGAAGTAAATGAAGTATGCAGAGCGGGCAAAGATATTGAAGAGTGATCACCACTTCTTTCAAAATCCTTGTTGGCAGTTTCACAACCGTTTATCAGCTTTCCTAAGCAATTACTTTTCATCTGAAAGTGCTTTCCTTCTTAATCATTGAAATATTAATGGAAATAAGTCTTTTTGTTTGTGTTATTTTTTTGTCATCTTGGTCTAATGTACACTTCAAAAAATGTAAATCTAAAAATGCAGTCTCTTATTTCAAGTGCATAATATCTAATGATCCTATTTTAAGGGTAAAGTTCCTCATTCCATTGTAAGATATTCTTATTTTCCAACTTAAACTATTTTAAGAATTTTTTTCTCATATTCAGAATTTTACTTATATTCAGTTTTTGCTGTGTTAATAAACCAAAGCAGAACGAACCTGTAGCGGGGAAATTTTTTTATCAGGTCGGCATAATGTACAAAGAAAAAAGAAAAACAAACAGGGTATCACGTTATTGTTTTAATAATAAAAAAGAAGTGTTGATTGTACACTATTGCTTTATTATTTGTTGTGTTTTTTGCTTCTCTATGTGTTCTGTTACATATTCTTTCCTCACTAGTCTTTCTCTTTTATGCCGCCTCTTTAATCCTCCTCGGACAAAAAGCCTGGCGCAAGATTACAAGCCATTAGGAATGTCTTCTAAAGCAGCGGAGGAAACTCTCTCTCTCTGTTTATATATATATAGAAACACAGTGAAGCAAGTTTTTCTGCTTTTCATTTTAAATTTTTTCTCTACCAAACATAATTAGAATATGTGTTTCCCCTCATTCTAATAATAGGGCAACTTTGAATTTAATTTGTATTGAAATGCACAAAATTACAAAACCTTTAAGTGATACTAAATAGTTGCTGAGAGGGACGTCTTTTCTGCTGAGCTCAATAATAAAAAGAACAGGAATTCCCATCAGTATAAAGCAGATTTATCTATTTCTGTTTGCAAACAATGAAAGTCAGTGAGTCACATGAAGGGAAGTCTGATAAATGGAGGTGCTCCTTTTTTTGGGGGGGGGGGGGGGGGGGGGGGGGGGGGGGGGGGTTGTGTGCTAAAGATGTTGACCCACTTCAGCCTGGAGTTGCAAAAAGAGCTCGCTGAAACATGCAGCAACTAAACCCAAGTGACATTCTGTTTACAGTAGCAGCTTTTTTAATGCAACTTAAGCTTACTGGTAGGCAACAGAAAAAGGGCTGGACGCAAACGCAATCTTTTCTTCAATTATGACTAATAATGCTCTAAAAGCACACCGGCTGACCTGCAAGGCCTCAGTTTGCAGCCAAATGTTCTGCCTGCAGTTGAAAGGTTTTACATGTGTCACTGTAAGTTTGTTCCTCTTCGAACTCTACGTTTGGGTCAGTGTCTTTTTATTTTATTTTACTTGCTTTGTTAACGGGCGTTCTGCTGAAACATGAAACACTGTGCTGTTTTTCTCCAAAGTTGAAGACCTACAATGACACAATGATCTTTGTCGAAATCTATTCAGCAAAGTCACTTTATGTCAGTTATACTTTGCTCCTGTGTTGACATTTAAAAGCTCTTTTCAGTCCAAACTCAGGCACACATACACTGTAACACCTACACAGCTTCTGACCAGAAAGAATAAGTTAATACCCCCTGAACAGCACAGCAAAAAGGGAAGTGGCTAACCTCATGCTTTTCTGTCTACCCAATACCAGACTGTATCTTTTTGTTTTTTAAGTTTTGTCTGCTTGCAACTGCCCAACGCTTTTCTGCTCCTAAGCATTTTTCTAATGTGCAGTGCTACGGTTCCTTCTTTCCAGTTCTCCTCCATTCATCTCCAGTTTGCGCTGCTGTCCCCTTCCAGCCCTCCGTCATTCAACCCCTCCCGTCTGTTTTTCTTTCCAGTGGCGATGGTGATTGACAGACAGATGATCTGACAGAGGAAGACATCAGGTGGGAAAAATTGTGAACTTCTCCTTTCTACCCTGCAATTGATTCCTCCTTCTCTCTTCTCTCCACCTCCTACTGCTTAAGGGAAGTTTATTTTAAATTTATTTAAAGTTGGTGACTTCTCTTTCCGCAGTTCTCTGTGTTTGTGGGGTTAAATAGAGTCACTTTCAGATCACATCATCTTCCAGTAATTAATTTAGCTGCAGTGACGGGCTGCATGTTCCTTTCTATGTTTTATGGCTTTTTTTTAATCCACTTGCAGAGAAATTTCTTACAAACGTAGTGAACAAATTTGAAAAAAGGGTATAAAAAAATCATATTGTTTGCATCTACAGACGCTGTCGCTGTGCTGGTTATTATGGGGTGTACCTGTTGCAAGCAGAAAAAGTCCGTCAAATCGATAGGGGCAGAATCAGCAACAATAGATGTTACGGATCTGTCTGCAAACAATGCAGAGGGAGGACAGTTGGGAGGATTGTCCCAGCGTTACTGTCCTGACCCCACTATCCCAGACTTCAACAAGCCTTTCCCGTCGCCTTCGGCCTTCCCCGCAACAAACACGCACCCCCGGCCCGGAGGCATGGGTAGGCAAAAAATCACCTTCAAACACTTATCTTCCTTTTTTTTTTTCGATCATGCAAATTTCCTTTTTTTATAACTGCGTGGCGCCGAAAAATATCTGAAGATGCAAGTAATGCTTGTGGTTGGATGCTCTCATGTGCTATTTATTTGTCTGGTTTTCCTGCAGGTGGAGGAGTCACTCTCTTTGTAGCTTTGTATGACTATGATGCTCGCACTGAGGATGACCTTACCTTCCAGAAAGGAGAGAAATTCCAAATCATCAACAACACGTGAGCTAGATCAACACACCTGCAACACCTGCACCCTTATTGCACTTTCTTTATTTTACAGCCACAAACTCAAGAGGAGTTTTAAAAGGGTTCTCTATGCAACAGACCGACAGATGTAGAAATTTGGAAAATTGAATGAAGACAAAACTTAGACTTACACAAACTTTATTGTCATTTTTTTATGCACAGAGTCTATACAAAACAATATTTCGATTTAAAGGGATTTGAAATCACCGTGTAGTGCAAATATGAGGTTTACATTGTGATGCAGCGTCTTCATTTGTGACTTGATTAGAGTTTTAAGTTCAACAGTCTTATGGTAGTGGGGGAAAAGTTGTTGCAGGACCTGCATTGAATGCTAAGAAACCTCTTCCACAGAGGTCAGCATAGAGAACAGTCCATGGTGGGGTGCTAGGGGTCGCTGATGATGTTGCCGTCTTGGGACACGCAATGGATTAGAATGTTTATTTAAAGATCCAAATCTGAAATATATAATGTGCATTTTGTATTTAATACGCTTTACTCTGATACCTCTAAAAAAACACTAAAGGAATTGTTCCAGAAGTGACCTAGTCGGTATAAATTAATTATGTGTGTTATCAAATCTTATGTTGTCCTGAGAAGTTGATAGAGAACATCTGTGAACAAACAGTTGGAGATCGACAATTTATGTGTCAGGACAGCTGATTTGCAGCCTTATTTTCAGTTTTCTACAAGAAGTTGCTCTAGTCCAATTTGTTCTGGAGAGAAATACTGTAAAATCTAGCAATGTATGTGGAGTTTGACGGTGCTAAATAAAGGTTTTGCTAGAAGACCTGATATTAAATTTAAAGTAACCCAGTTTTAATTCAAAAATCAGTCCAATTGAGCATCTGAACCAAGACCTTGAAATTGAGCCATCTGATCTTAATGAGCTTAGTTTCCAAAGAAGAAATGGAGAAAATAAAATAAAATAAATTATAGAGTTTTTGATTGATGTCTAAAACCGTGCAATAGTTTGGACATTAAAAACCCCCCAAAATTCTGAAATATTTGATTGTAGCGTGACCTACTGCGTTATGTCGGGTTTGTTAGTAAACTTCAAGAGACTGAAGCTGGATATTGATGTTTGCAGATGTTACATGCAAAAAACAACTGCAACAACTGTCTAAGGTGGTAATAGCATCCACAGTTCTGTGAAGTGTTTAATCTTCAATGTGTTAAACCAAGTTGACCATTTTTCTATGCGTTAAACTTCTTCCTTTATGCAGGAATTTCACTTTTTAAAAAACGTTTTAGGTCTAAGTGACTGCAGAATGTGTCGATCAGCTTTTTTTTTTGAAAAACAATTATTCCTGCTTTGCGAATGTGAAATCAATTTACATGATGTTAACATTTGGCTAAGCAGATAATGTTGGTTATTACTAATCCAGACGTATTTTATTTTTGTAAATTGTTTTTTGGTTTCAGGGAGGGTGACTGGTGGGAGGCCCGCTCGTTGAACACCGGCCACTCAGGATACATCCCCTCCAACTATGTAGCTCCGGTCGACTCCATACAAGCTGAGGAGTGAGTTTGCACCAAAATAAGATATACACACAGCAGTAACTGCTACTTTTTGTTCTGCTTTAAGCCAAAGCTTGAGATTTCCGCAGTGATTGACATGTAGTCTGAAAGCAGAGGTCAAGCAATGTGTGTTGTTACTCCGGTCACCTGTGTTTTGTTCTCATGGTGACAGGTGGTATTTTGGGAAAATGGGGAGGAAGGATGCAGAGAGACAGCTGCTGGCTCAGGGCAACCAGAGGGGAACTTTCCTCATACGAGAGAGCGAGACCACCAAAGGTGGGGAGACAAAACAAACATTCAACATGTCTATGTACACTTGAAGGACTAAAAATACAAAAGCTTTAAAGGAATAGTACACCCAAAACATGATTAGCCTTCATTTTCTACTCACCTCCATGCTGAACAACACTCTGGAGTACTTTTTTGATATCTCAAATGCATCTGGAGATCTGGGAGGCTTCTTGCTGTCTGCTGACATTCAAATAATGGAGGTCCATGGCGCCCGAGACAGAAAGGTCCATAAAAGTCCACAAAAACGTGTCAATATTCCTCCATACTGCTCGTCCAATGTAATCCAAGTGTCCTGAGTGGGTAGCATCCAGAATTTACTCGAAACGAAGTCATTTAGAATGTTTTTAGAGCATAAACAGTAGTGTATAGGATTTCCTAATAGCGCCCCCATGCGCGCTCGCGATTCTACGGAAGCCGGCAGACCAAACCAGCGCATTCAGCTCGGGAAAGAACTCATGCTCTTCCTCAACACTGAAGTCCTCAGACATTTTTCTTTCGTTGTTTCTTTCTTTGCACAGGTAAACAGCACATTTCTTCTTCTACGCTTGCATTATCGGCAGACCAGACGCTGAATGCGCACTTTCTTCCGGTTTGGTCTGCCGGCTTCCGTAGCGTCGTGAGCGCGCATGGGGGCGCTATTAGGAAATCCTATACACTACTGTTTATGCTCTAAAAACATTCTAAATGACTTCGTTTCGAGTAAATTCTGGATGCTACCCACTCAGGACACTTGGATTACATTGGACGAGCAGTATGGAGGAATATTGACACGTTTTTGTGGACTTTTATGGACCTTTCTGTCTCGGGCGCCATGGACCTCCATTATTTGAATGTCAGCAGACAGCAAGAAGCCTCCCAGATCTCCAGATGCATTTGAGATATCAAAAAAGTACTCCAGAGTGTTGTTCAGCATGGGGGTGAGTAGAAAATGAAGGCTAATCATGTTTTGGGTGTACTATTCCTTTAAACTCTTCTGTGTGATTATCAGCCAACCTTTCCTCACCTTCCCCTTCATCTTCCTGTCATACAGGGGCCTACTCTCTTTCCATCCGTGACTGGGACGACACCAAGGGAGATCATGTCAAGCATTATAAGATCCGCAAACTAGACAATGGTGGCTACTACATCACCACGAGGTCACAGTTCGACACTGTTCAGGAGCTGGTGGTCCACTACACAGGTAACATGGAAATAAATTCACAAATTTCTACTTTTTTTTCTAAGTTAAACCTTGTCTCCCTCTGTTCAAGTGTTAATGATCCTCCTTGATTTCGTTTTATTATAATGTCAAATGAATACAGTCCTGATGAATAATTTGTAAAAAAAAAAAAGTTTCTCAGTTCCAGCTCACAATTATGACCTACTTTGGGTGGGCTTTGGTTAGCATAACAAACACCTAACACATTTTCTACGTGTCACACCAATAACTTTATAAAAGGCATGTGAGAAAAATGTTCGTTTAGCCTGAATGGTTTTGCAAGGAAATGATAGGTAGTCTTATGTGATGCAACATTTTGCTGTTTGTAAAATAACAGTACTTGTTTGCACAGAGCTTTTGTGCAACAAAGGTGGGCAGCTGTGTAGTTCAGGTATGAATAACAGGACAAATGAACATAAAATAGCTTTTATCAAGCAACAACATAATCATTAATTTAAAGTCCAAAAACCCCCAAAAAAGAAGAGTTTTCATGAGATGTGTTTCACTTCCTCCTGTCTGTTGGTCTAAACCTGCCTCCTAGTGGGCCGTGTTGGTACTGAAGCACATTCAGTTTGCATCCTGACATAATGTATCATTTGTCTTCTGTATTTTATGCAGTATCCTGGCAATTCTGCCATATTTGTGCACATTTTTTCCTTTGTTTGTTACATGTTGATTTCTGCTGTGCTTCTGTGTGTCTGCCTGATTTGCATTTGATAAGGAATCTGTCTTGTTCTTCCTTTATTTTCTGCTTTTGCTCCGTTTTCCTCTATATTTCTTTTTGGTCTGTCTGTGTGTCTCTCCGTCTCTCTGTCTCAGAGAGAGCGGCGGGACTGTGCTGCCGTTTGATGGGCAGCTGTAAGAGGGGCATGCCTAAGCTGGCCGACTTATCGGTGAAGACCAAGGATATGTGGGAGATTCCCCGCGAGTCTCTCCAGCTGATTAAGAAACTGGGCAACGGCCAGTTTGGAGAAGTCTGGATGGGTAGGACTGTTGGGGGTTGGTTGAAGGGGGGAGGGAGATAACAACAGATGCACATCTGAATATTGAAAAGTATTTTGGGGACAGATTTTATTTACTGGTTGATTAAAATCGGAGTTCATCCGTAAACATTTACACACTAATAAATATTCCTGTGAAACAGAAATGGAAAAAATGTTGTAGATGCATAAAACAGTAGAGGGTGAGTTTGCCTTCCACATCCAGGTGTGCTGCGTTGTTCTCCTCATCCTCCTGTGGTTGCATGTGCATGCATTTAAAACTCACATCACCTTTTGTCACCCCCTGTCATCTTTCCACCCACTCTCACCTATCACCTTCAACCTTTCTTCTCCGATCCTCCATCACCAAACCTCTCTCCTTTCATCTCTGGCATTTCCTCCTCCTCCTCCTCTCAGGAAGTAATGATGGACTGTGTTATTACCTGACCAAGGCCTGTCCAAACTCCACCCCTCTCACCTTGGGCCTTGGGCGGGATGCCTGGGAGGTAGCGAGGGAAACACTGTCCATGCAAAGGAAGCTGGGACAGGGGTGCTTCGGGGACGTCTGGATGGGTGAGACTGATACGGGAAACCTTTGAAAAACACCAGGAAAGAACAGGGCTGGAGCAAAGATTATTCATTGTTTTCAGAGTGAGGTTAGATATTTCCTTTCATACCACTTATTGCTTTTCACTGTAGAAGACACAAGTAGGATATTTTTACTCTTATATAAAGAAGAACCTGTCCAAAATGTAAGTGTGTTTGAGTGTTTTCACATATTGGTTTCGTCCTGATGTCATTTGTGCATCATTCACATACAGTGCTGTGGGAGGTTTCCATAAACCCACCATCCACATCAATTTAAAATAATTAAAGATAAATTTTAACAATAATTTTTATGGTGACTGTAAAACAGGATATAAAATCTCAACATGCGTAGAATCCCCACTACTATTTAGATAAAGAAACATCTGTTTCTAGTTGATTTCCTGGCATGGGCTTTTTTTTTTTTTTTTGCAGATACTGACCTATAAGAGAGTAAAAGTTGAAGATATTCCAGAGGCTGATTGTTAGCATAAATATTCTAATTCCAAAGATGCATTTTAAAATTTCCTTATGACCATCACCTCTTCTAACACCTGATTAGGTCCAAGAGCTTTAAGAATTGGAAAAAAAGTCCTATCCTTATTCTTCTGTCCACTCTTGCAACATTTAGAATCCTTGCTGACGACCAAAAATGCTACCAGTATGATGCTACCACCACCATGCTTTACAGCAAGGTTTGGCATCCCTCTTGGTGGATTGTTGAGCCCTGCTCTTGTTAGGAATGGAAATGTTTATTTAAAACTGTTTGGGTTCATAGTGTAAACCTCGCTTTAAGCACAGCTAATACACTTTCAATAAAGTTGAGATTTGGACCATTCCAGAAGCAGTTGATGACTACCAGTGACAGAGAAATAATCCCACAGCACGATGATGGTTCAACCTTAAAAGACAGATTATAGAGGTTTCTAGGGTTTGAAACCTTCTCTTTGACTACATACTTCATTACATGTGCTCAATATAGATTTATATGATATTTATCCCCTGTGACCATAAGACTTTTCTCCTGATGATGTTTGGCTGCTTTAGGTTAGAGGATCGCACATTTATATTATATATTCTGACCTGGGGAAATGTTTGAATTGATTGATTGAGCTATCTATAAGCGGAGTCTGTGTATCAAGAGACACCTGCGTTGAAATTGTTTGTTTCACAATCAGACCGCTGTAGATTAAGAGCAGTTCAACTGTTTCAGTAAAAGCCCTAAATTCAGACATTCATGCCCATTATGAAAGCATTTAAAGTTCAACTGGCACCGTGACTCAGGCTCTGCTTTTATTGATGCAAGAAAACCAGATAAACCTCCCTTCATCTCTCTTCCCTCGACCCACTACTTCACACCAAGCATGCCTTCAAAATAAGCAAAAATGCATGCATGAGTATTTACCACATGTAACAAATCACTACTCCATTATTTATCATTTTGTTTTATCCACACTGTGTGTGTGTATACAACTGTTGCTAAGGCAGACAAACCGTCACTAGAAGCCTTTCTCTGTGTTCGTACCTGCTTTTCTGTGCACCCGTTAACATCAACTCGTCTGTATGCCAGGCATGTGGAACGGCACCACCAAGGTAGCGGTGAAGACTCTGAAGCCAGGAACCATGTCCCCCGAGGCGTTCCTGGAGGAGGCTCAGATCATGAAGAGGCTCCGGCACGACAAGCTGGTGCAGCTCTATGCCGTCGTGTCTGAGGAGCCCATCTACATTATCACTGAGTTCATGAGCCAAGGTACTGGGCTGCATAAAATGTCACTGTTTTGACATATTGTAGGTTTGAACTGCTTCCATCACATACTGATGTCAAGCTTTTGAAGCCATATTCCTTTTTTTTCTATTCCTTAAATAATATGTATTGTTAATAAAACTCAGAGGAATTTATTTGAATCAAAATGATTCACTTTATTTGAACCATTGCAGTTTGTATAAAACTTGCTTTAGATAAAGTAAAAACTGCAATGGTTCAAAGGTTTAGTTTTAGAGCTGTTAAGAACAGAAATCCAATTAGATGAGTTGTTTCAGCACATTGATTTTTACTATATTAGAAACCTCTCAAAATAGCCGAGCAGAGAAAATGATAAAACATGGGAAGTGCAAACAGAAACAGGCAATTATAAACCAGAGTTGAGTTTTTTATATTATATGACGTTTGAACTTTGATGCAGGAATGATATCTGACCCATGTTTCTGCACCAACATGGAAAACCACTGGGAATGGCTTAATGATAACAATTAAAACATGTTTTTCTGTATTTTAAACCTTTAAATGCTGCAGAGACATTTTTCACTTTAGAAGATAAAATGTTTAAATAATTAGTAATATACAAATGACTTTCAACCATATTCGACCATTAATTCGAATTGAATGAGAAACCTCACTTCTAATTTTGGCTTTTTTTGACGATTTTCTATATAAAGATGGATATCATTTAAATGCATCCTTTTAACAAATCAAGTACAAGTTGTATTGTATTATGGGATTTTAATTCTTGTTAAGATGGTACCTTTAAAAAAAAAAAAAAAAAGAACATTTCCCACCACTGGTCACAACTGTGCCATTTTATCATTGGCTGTACCTTTAGGATCTTTTCTCTGATAAACCAATGGTTCTCAAGCTTGTCTCGCTTGCTTGATCCTGCCACTTATGAGGAAAACTGAAACCATCTGAATTTTATTTAGAAGTTTCAGAGCAAAAAGGATGAGTGCAAACAGATGCCATATTTTTCCTATTTATTTCACTAAATGTTGAAAAGCCCTGCCTCATCTTTATCATACACCTCAGAACTTTGCACGTTGTTTTGGTCGATCACATATGATCTAAATTCCTCCAGCTTTCTGGTCATAATGTTTTGAAACATAAAGTTCAACAGAAATGAAATGTAAGTATTAGATGAAGCAGCATGAGAGATCTCAACTTGTTTGACAACGAGGTGAATTTTTTCTGAACTTTAGCATTATGCTAAAATTTTTCTGTATGCATTTCTGCAGACAATAAATGCATATAATCTAAAAAAGTTAACAAATGATGTAGAACTGAGATTACAGAAAATTACATTATAAATATCTTTTACTCCTCCTCCCATTCAGTCTTTGTTTCTCTCTCCATTAAAGTCAAGATTAAAGGATAGTATCTCACAGAATTAATTCTCATTTAGGGGTACTACTGAAAGAATAGAAATAGGTAAAATAATGATCAAAACTAAAAAACTTTTTTTTAAATGCCTCTTTTATATAAACTGTTTATAGAACATATAAAAAGGGATAATTTTTTTTTGCCTCATTTGATTAAAAAACCACCATAAGAAGTAAAAGTTTTGAAGCTAAGTTTTTCCAACTCATCTTTCAAAAGTGCCAGTTTTCTTTTAAACACACTGTTGTATTTTCTCACTTAGGAAGTTTATTGGACTTCTTAAAAGATGGAGAAGGGCAGAACCTAAAGCTGCCTCAGCTGGTGGACATGGCAGCACAGGTGGGCTTCAAGACAAGCAGCACATGGTGGAAAAAAGCTCTTCTGCAGATATGAGCAGTTCTGGTTTTTTTTTTCTTGGCGTGCAGATTGCTGCTGGGATGGCGTACATCGAGCGGATGAACTACATCCATCGCGACCTACGAGCTGCCAACATCCTTGTTGGAGACAATCTGGTGTGCAAGATCGCTGACTTTGGCTTGGCCAGGCTAATTGAAGATAACGAGTACACGGCCAGACAAGGTGGGTGTAGGGGATAAAGGTTTATGGTTCTTTTTGGCATTTAATTGATTTATTTAAACCCATCTTTTGGAAGGCTGGAATTAACATACAATTCCATTATAGTTTTAAAAATAAGAAATCAAATTAATAAGTCAAAAAGTTTTGCGGCAATTTGAGTCAAAATCAAAAGTTAAAGCTCACATATAGAGAGATGCACAGACACTAGGTGGTGCTAGCGCACCTGCCCTGTTTTCCTTGGGACAAAAAAGTGATTACCTGGAGTAACTTTTTTTAAATCTGCAGTTTGTGACCCTAGGTAGCATTTCTGAATTTGTGATTTTGCTCAATGAGACGTCACATATATACACATGTGACATGCCCCACTGTGTACCTCTTTTCACGTAAAGGCGCAAAGAGGACAGATGGGTGCGCGCTGCGTAGCGCTACCTCTACTCTCCTCCCTTCGCCGTTCAGTAGAACCCTGCCCTGGTGAAGGGCCAGCTATCCATCCAGGTAAAAAACAAAAAAAATGGGTTTTAAAACGTAAACTTTTACCAGCAAGCCAATAACTGGCGCACCGTTCCCTGCAACATCTTCAATGCCCGCCACATGGTGCCAGGGTGCTTTTAAAAAGTTGCTCTTAGATTTATTACATTTGCTAAGATAGCCTCTATTGACATTTATTTCAGTCATGTCTTTTTATGGTAAATACAGCTTACCCTCATCTTATAAAAATTTTATTTAAATACTAACATAAGGCCAAATGAGCTGGTTAGTGCAGCATGTAGACATCCTGTAATCACAGGGCTAATCTCATAATCTTAAAAATCTCATAAATCTTAACTCTAATTTCTGTCTACCTGGCTACATAGATAATTTTTTAATGGGCATATTTCTTTCTTTTGGTTTAATTTTGAAGCTACGAGGAGGTGTGTTTTTCTGAATTAACGGATTATTTCTTTGCAAAAAAAAAAAAAAAAGTAAAAAAGCCATGGTTTTCTTAGTTAGCAGATAAAATGTGAAGAGAAGAGGACGGGGGGAATAACTTTGCCAAGAGTAGGATTCAGCGTGCAGGTGTGATCACAATATGAACAGACTAATACTGATTGCGTCTACATAACTAAGAGACAAGAGGATTTCCCACAGTCTTAATTCCCAAAGGAAGTGAAAATGAATTCAACAAATGTCGAAGCTCCTCAGAAGGAAAGGCGTTTAGAGCTTAGAAATCTGCAGTGGCAACAAAAACAGAACACAAAATCACAGCAAGATTATTTTCACGGCTCAGAACAGAGGACCCGGTATTTAGGCAAGACAGACAGTGGGATTACTCAAAAAGCGTTTATTTAGAACTGGCAGAGCTGAGTAGTAGCTGCTAGGGCGTCTGAGGCAGGAAACTGTGGAGAGAGGAATCACAGGTTAGTGACTGTAAATCTAACCGAGGAAGATTATAAACACGAGTCACTAACCTAGTTTAACAGTCAAGTCTATCACCAGAGAACGAGGTAGGATCCAGCCAGTGGGCTACCAACAAGATGTGGCAAGCGCCTCCCAGAGTGTCCCAGACACAGCAGCCCCATGGAACAAGTAGGAGTCCGAAGACACGTCAGGCAAACAGTTCAGAACAAGAACAGAGAGGTTCAATGGATGAGAGGCCGAACAGGTCAGGATCAGAAAATCAGAAACACCAAGGTACTCTAAAAACACTATCACCACTGGCACAAGAGAACAAGAATATTCTAGCCCTGATGACTGGATCCATGCACCTTAAATAGAGGCAGGGGCAGGTGGATCAGATAAGTAGTGATGAGAAATCAGGCAGAGTTAGACAGGTGAATGGAATGAGTAATTAAGCCAGTCATCAGCACCAAGATAATGATTCCATATAATTTCATTTAATTTTTTTTCTTTGAGTTTTTTTACAGCACTAGTGGCACGTTTTTCTGACAGTAGGCCGACAGGAAATGGAGTATGAGAGAGGGAGAGAGACATGAGGCAAAAGACCACAGGCCATATTCGAACGCCCGTTCTTTTCTTATAAATGATTTAAGCTGTAGAATAGTCCCTGGATACTCAGTTTTTTTAAGCTAACCCATTTTGTTGGACCTACCTGGTAAATTTGACGAGGTAGTCTGCTTAGTTCCAACATTAAATTATATGATACAGAGGATATTTTCCAGCAAAAGTACAGACTGATGTACTCAAGACATACACAAAAAGAAAGAGAATGGTAATGTATGATTCACATTTGACTCAAATACAGATTATGAGTCAGTGTTCAACCTTTTAATTAATGGTGCACATCAAATATGTATTCGATAGAACCTAAAGTGACATCGCTTTTCTTCTTTCGTTAGATAAACTAATCTATAGGCTGCTGAACATTTTAAACATCCGCCTCATTAGCTATTGATTTAAAATAGATATATATTTACATCATAGTTACATCGTTGAGCTGCAGCCGTATTAGATCTCATATTACTCAGCAGCCAGTGGCTCCATGTTCCATATAAGGTTCCCTTCTTTCCACTTGAGCCCCTTCCCCCAAAAATGTCTGTGCACGTCACTGCTTGAAAATATGCATGCCAATATTTAGATAAATGTCCCTTAAAAAGCAGGAAACAGATGGCTGATGATCCCTCTTTAGCTCATCTACAGGGATTTTATATTTTTAAGGTGTCACCAAACTTCCACCATGTAGTTTTTAATTCTGAAGTGAATTTGAAAGACAGCAATCATCTCAGCGCAACAACTGTAGTGAGCATGATGCTGATGCTTTACTGCTCTGCATTTGGTATGAGAGGGTTAGAATTGATAACCTGACCTTAATCTAAAATATCCTCATAATTATAACTTAGTAGCTCAATTTTTTTGTCACCTGATCATAAAAATGAAAGTAGCTCAGCTAACAGCCCCAAATTAATATAATATTCATAACATGATAGGTGGATGCAAACTTCTTAATGGACTGAAATGATGTTGGTGCAGAAAACAAAGCGGATCCACACCCCAGATGCTGTATTTTTAGTCCTAACCTGTCCTTGTTACATGAACACACATCTTGACAGTGTTACTATGGTTTCAGGAGCAAAGTTCCCCATCAAGTGGACGGCTCCAGAAGCTGCACTCTATGGACGCTTCACCATCAAATCAGATGTCTGGAGCTTCGGTATCATGTTGACTGAACTCATCACTAAGGGACGCGTGCCCTACCCAGGTACCTGATAAAACCTGCTTATTGCTAAATTGAAGTTATCATTAGGGAGTGAATATTTATATTTTTGCATGTGAAAAAAATGAATATTAAGACTTTGTGGGTTTTCACACTAACAAACCTTGTTACTGTGCGCCTCTGCTGGAGATTTCATTGCCTAGGCACCTCCTCACTTGTAGATGAGAACTTACAGTAAAAGGAGGGTACTCATTTCTTGAGCTCGTACTGTGCCAATTAGCATTCAGATCCCAGGGCACCTTTCAGTTTACATGTTATAATAAGTCAGATAATTTATGCAATTTCTTTGCAAGCAAAACGTTATTTAGATCTTACACCTTTGACTTGTGCTCTGCTAAAATATGAAGAAATATTGTGTGAGAAACAGAAACAGTATTTTCTTCTACTTCCCTCGTTTTCTGCAAATTATGTTTTGCAGCCTTTCATTCTTTTTATTTGCTTTTATAAATTTTTTCCAACTGACTTTTTGAAATATTTTTTCTCAGTGTGTGTGTGTGTGTGTGTGTGTAGATTGACCCTGCTTCTGTTGTCCAGGTGATGTAAATAAGTATTTTGCAGACTAAAGCTTGAAAGGTTTTCTCTTACGTTCGTATTCAGGGTGACTGCTGCAATGACAGTCGCACCAAAAAAAAAAAATGTATTTGATTGTAATTTTTTCTCCAAATAGGTAGATTTTTTTCTTGATTTTGAACACTTAGGAATCAGACACTATACTTGCAATAGCAAAAAAACAACAACTGCATTGTCTTTCAAGTGCATAATATCTAATTATCTTATTTTAATAGTAAAAATACTCATTCTATTGGCAGATTATCTTATTTACCTACTCAAATTAAAGGTAAACATTTATTTTAAGAAATTTTGACTTATTTTTAGATTGCTTTATACAAGCTGTATTATCTTGCCAGTTAATATCTATGCTGACCCACTGAAAAAACACCAAGGCTAGTTGACAATTTTCCCTTTAGATTTTTTACAGTATCTAGTCTAAATCAATAAAACAAACATAAAGGAACCATTTCAGACAAGAAATGTCTGATAATTCAGTTCCTCACAAAGAATGTGCCTTTTTCACATTTATTTTTCTAATATAAACACAAAAGCAACCTTTTTGTTGGGGATTTATCTGGATGACACTTTATTATAAAGTGAAAAGAAAAAGACACTTTGACTTAGTTTTTCTTCTAAGTAATACAAATCTAAAAGGTGACTTATGGTCCACTTTCACCAGCTTCTTTCCGATTACCCCACCTGAGCGTATGATCCCTGCTGCTTCTTCTTTAACAAGCCACTTTGTGGCTTCTCCAATTAAGTTTTTTTAATGTATCAAAAAATAAAAAACATAAATACAACATAGAAATCACCATAGTTATAGTTTCCTATTATATTTCTAGTTATTGCTATTTTATTCAGCTGTTTGTTTTATTTTTCCTCTTTCCCCTTTAGGCATGAACAACCGTGAGGTGCTGGAGCAGGTGGAGAGAGGCTACCGGATGCAAGGTCCCCATGGCTGCCCGGCCTCGCTCCACGAACTGATGCTGCAGTGCTGGAGGCGGGAGCCCGATGAGAGACCCACCTTTGAGTACCTGCAGTCCTTCCTGGAGGACTACTTCACCGCCACAGAGCCACAGTACCAGCCAGGAGAAAACCTGTGACCGGTGTCGAGTCGGACAGATGTGGAGCTATAGCTGTACACAAAGATACAGTGACTGAGATGTTGAAGTCGTGCATTTATTTGTGCCTTCAGTGTTTTTGATCCACACTTACTCATATGAAGAAACATATCAATGACTTTTGACGTTTCCTTTGGTTTGGTTGCGGACCGCTGCATTGTGCTTAGAGCAGATCAGTTATCCATGTTGAGGAGTTGGAGCTCATCTGGTCCGGCCTTGCAGTAATGTTGCTTTACTCTGTAACCATGACAACAGGCAACTGAAAGAAAATGTAGATGCTTGTGTTGAAGGGTGGGTTGAGGGAGTCCAGTGGGTGCATGATCTGTTCAGCTGCCAGATTTCTTCAGGTCCTTTGATTTCTTTTTTTTTGTTCTGTGTGCAGAATGTCATCAGATTGACTAATTTCGGCGTGAAAAAATACGCTGATGTAAAAGAATCTCACCTGCAACAAGTTGCACATCTTGAGGAAGCTCAGACGGCTGTCAGTGAGCCTTGTATTCCTTTGTCTAACAAAATCATTATACCATTGTTCTTTAGCAGTAATAGAGTGGAGGTCTGGGTTCATTATACTTATAATATTTGATTTAAACAAGGTCTGATATTAGATCTATATCTGTTTCCTTAAACAAGTGCCTTTAGTGCTGTGCCAAAAGTGGAGGGGACAAGGAATGTGCTTTACGTATTAATTGTTTCAATTGTTTTAATTTAACTGAATTATATCTGTGCATTCAAAACTGTTCTATATCTTGAAAACATGTATGCATGTTTTTCGTTTTTTGAGATAGGAGGGTTGAAAATGGAAAACATAAGAAAGAATGGCCTCTGGCAGTGGAATATGAAGCAATAGTGTTTTAAATGTTTTTTAATCATTTTTTTCATGAATGTAACCATTATGTTGCAAACCCTTCTGTCATTTTACTGTAATAAAGATCAGATATCTTTTCCAGGTCACCATTTTTTTCTTTATTGAACATGTTGAAAATGTAATTTGGGATGGGATAAATGGTAGTTTTATTTACATAAAGAAATCTGAACAATGCGCTGTTCAGATTTCAGTTCTTTTGCTTATGTCTCTACCAGCTTGCCAGGTCTAAAAATGATATCATGTTGATGATATGCCAGTTTGTGTTTCCATGTGAAATCATATAGGATGCAGATCCCATTGATTCTTTAATTTTATTTACAGTAGGTCTGGACTCTACACAGGGATGCCTTTTGAGTTAATCCATTCCATTTCTTGTATCCTTTAGAATGTTTCCCTGCAGGAAATTGAAAATCCAATCCAGTCTGAAGTCTTTTCTAATGTGTTTTCATGCAGAGTTGCCACATATTTATTTCCATCCATATTCACTATCAAATCTGACTGGCATTCCTCTCTCTTTTAAAGAAAAGAAACCAACAACATTATGCTGCCACCACTATATTTTAATGTGAGAGCGGTGTGCCCAGAATCATGTGCAGTTTTTTTTTTTTTTAATCACACATTGCATATTACATACAGGCCCAAATGCTCCTATGTCAGTTGTTAGAAAACTTCAATACTACTTATAGTCTTATTTCAACTCAGTTTTATTATATTACACCAATTCACAACATGGAGCTTTTGAGAGATAATTCAATCAAATCACATAGACAGACTGATTCCTTTTTATATGTAAGGGAAGCCTGCTGATTGTATCCAGTCATTGACTTTGCAGGATTTGTTCCTCCTAAATGAGCATATAAGACCAGTAGATATTAGCATGCATTGTGTCATTGACTCTTTAGCAATCCCTCACACTGAGCATGCATGCAGCAACAGTGGAAAGGAAACACTTCATTTCAACAGAAAGAAACCTCCACCAGAACCAGGTTCAGTGTGAGGTCGGTTTCCTTGACAGAGCCACTTATAATGGAGCTAGTTTACTATTACCCCTTCTAACAAAAACAAAAAACAAAAACCAGTGCTTTATGTGTGCCTAGGCAGAAGGCCAAACAGCTCTGAGACAATTTTCATGTCAAAAAGAATGAAAGAGAGCATACAGTTAATTTGCATTAAATGCTGAGCCCATAGCTATGTCCAGAAGAGAAACATGAGTAACGATTGATCAAATTACTTTGAACAGAAAAAGCAAAGAGAACACAAAGTTAGTGGGTGAACTAACAAATAAATGCAGAATTGGAAAATATCTTAAAACAGAATGATGAAATATTTCAACACTGTCCTTCTTTCAATCAAATCCAAGCTTTTGTTGTGTGTAACTAATAGCTGAGTTGTCTGCCAGCAATTGTATAGCATCAATGAATTTAGTGTTACCAGTTGTCCCTCCTTGGGGCTATGGATCGTCATCACTATAAGCCTCTTGGCTGCTTCTTAGAATATTGCTCTTATTGTCCAACCTGTCAATTTTTGTGGACAGACAAAATTTTGCAAGCATGCAGTTGTGCCCTACTCTGCATATTGAGATGAACTGAACAGTTTATCAGTGATAGATTGGAGACCTGCTCATAAATGTGCTGACTTGTCTGGTGTCTGGTCAACCAGAGGCCTTAAATATAGAGGAAATGATGGAGAGATTGGATGCAGGTGCAGAAATCAGTGAACAGCTGTGAGCAAGAGCAACCTAGGGAAAACTTAGGACAACAAAACAATTAACACAAAGGGAGCAAAACTGGACACAGAGAGCACTTTAAACAAACAAGGAAAATATACTAACACAAATCTTTAAGATTAATATAAAAAAACCTGAATAAATTAAGCAAAATAAGCTAACATCTTTCTAGAAATAACGTACACATATAAACTAATTAGGAAAGACCTCTCAATGTAAAATGAAAGAGGTTAGAAAAAGCTACCGGTAATTAAAACCCAAACGCCAAAAGGATCCAACAGTCTCTATATTTTATTTTTAAATTTGTTTTTCAATGTGTCTTTTAATTTGTATTTTCTAAATTAATAATATTATTTGAGTAAATATAAGTAACAGTTTTGAGATTAGATCTTTACAATTTTCTTTTATAACCTTTCAGGTTGTCACATAAGAGTTTAGTTGATATTATCGAGGGGTTTGTGGTTGCATCATGGTCAGGGAATGGGGATCCTTGCATAGTTTTTTGTTTTTGTTTTTACAATGACTAATATTTGGTTTCTGGATTAAGCTCTTAAAGATCTAATACTTGTTGGTACAGTTGCCTTAAAGGAGGGCATACATTCTACAGATGTTAATATTTTGTAGGTTGTGTATAATACAGGTAATAAATGACATTATATAAATTAATATGGTGTACTTTTTCTATTTGATTCTCTTGTAAGCACATAAAAAAAAAAAACTTCAACTACATTTCCCACAAATCTAGGTTGTTGGAGTAAAGCGAGCTACGGGTGCCCGCGTGGTTTTGACAAGCAGGCACGTTGGAGAGGCTCAAACGGAGACTGGGGCGCACCAGAGAAGGAGAGCAGGAATTGCAGAGGTACAGGCGCGCGGGCGCACGGTCATTTTCACCCTCCCGCATACCGGGGGAGTCCCACATCTGTGCCTCCACCGGAGCGCAGGCGTTTAACCAGGCTTTGTCAGTACCTCCACACGGAACCAGACTCTAACAGAACCCTTTTGCTCCCTGTTTTTTACATTTCTCCCCCTTTTGTGTTTTTTCCTTTCCCATATTTAGCGGGTGCAGACGCTGATGGTGAGCCAGAGGAGCGGCTCTTAACATTTAAGTGGGTGGACGGTTCCTCCAGCCGAGGCGCAGCGGAGGAGCTCAGATGAAGCGGGGACACGACGCTCGGTGACGGATCCCAGACCCGGGCGACAAGAGGGACTGATCCCCGCTCCAGCCAGCCTGCAGCCCCGCCAGGATCTCCCTTATACCAGGGGGTGAGTGTTTCATGCAGATATACTCATGGAAACGCTGCCGTCCACTCATCCAGCTGTGCCGCGCACATCTGGCAGCGCTTCAAATTGAGTTTTTTTTTCTCTTTTCCATTTAAACAAGTCAGCGCCGTTACCTGCCGCTGCTCTGCATGCCTCCAGCTGATCTGGGCTCAACTGTAGGCATGCATGTGTAATAATGATGTTGAAACGCGCACACCGTGATTGTGCGCACAGTGAACCCTGCATAACCCCACCTGTTTTTTGTTTGTTTGTTGCTGTTGTCTTTTTATATTTACAATAATCTCACCTATTTCCCGCATAGCTGCATAGACACTGTGAGCTTTTTGTTATGATGTCTGTCTCACTCCATAGATTTTACCTGCGTTTAATTGGACGTTTCAGACTCACATGAGTGAATCGCGCCAGATGTTTAAACCCAGATGTTTGTTTTTACATATAAACAGAGGGGAGGGGGATACATCCACCCTCCTGTCTAGTTGGACAGGACACATCAGCAGCAGCAGCAGCAACAGCAGCAGCTCATCCTGCAGTGGTGATCCAGCCAGTGAGTTTGGATACTTATGATTCTGAGCTCTGATCTGTTTTTTTCATTAAAAAAAGGAGAAGAAAGAGTGCAGAAGACAATGCCAGTGTCTGTGCAGTGACAGTTGGTTATTTATGGGCCCCTCAGAGACATGCTCAGGCTGCCCTGGTGCAGGTGCTGTTAGTATGCAGAGTAATGCTCAGTGTGTCTGTCTGTCTCTCTCTCACACACACACATACACACCCCGTCTCACGATCTGAGTCACTGGGTAAGGACTTAGTTCTCTTATATTAGCAGTTAATGAATAATTTCTCCACACTGAATGTTGGCATGAAAGGGAAATGGCTTTACCTTGGCATTCAACTGCTGTCTGTCAGACTTGTCTTGAGTGTGTTACCTTGTGTGTGTGTGTGACAAACAGAGTGAATGTGAACAGCTTAGACCTATTGTGCTTCCTACCTGTGCAGCGGGGCTAGTTGTCATAGCAACGGCCTTGTAGCTCCGTTGATGTTCCTCCTGTCCTCATCGGCAGGGTCAGCTCACCTACCACACCACATCTCGTCTCAAATCTACCTCTGAGTGTGTGTATCTTTGTGTGTGTGCTGAGAAGTAGCCTTTGTTTGCACTTTGCTGCAGTTGGAAGCCGTGTAGGTTGGCAGCACAAGGAAATCAGTGTGTGGATGTGTGTGGAGCTATGCATGTGTGTGCGTACAACAGTGTCAAAAAGATACACCCTGCCGATATGACAGTCGACAGCTCAACCAATCACCTGTCTTCCTTTCTCTGCCTATCAGTGTGTGAGGTTGTCACAGCCAGGGACCCTCTTTATACAGATATATGGAGATAGAGAAGGCAGAATGGACACATGCATGCATGCATCTTGAATGTATAATCATGTGGAGATACTCACTGATTGGTACGGTATAGATCCGCATTCCTCATATTTCCTTCAGGGTTTTTAAAGGAAGTTTGGTGCCAGTTTAAGTTTGATGCAACCTGTTGAATGGTTGGATTATGATGCATGCATGCATTATTTCTTAATGGGAGGATTGTGGATCTCAGCGTCACTATCAAAACACTGACAGAGCCATTAGACACCCATCCATTGTCTCAGCCTGCTTATCCTTGCAGGGTAGTGTGGGGGGTGCTGGTACCTATCTTCAGCGGTCATTGGACAGGTCAGCCATGAGACATAGCTTTAAAAAAAAACAAAAATGCATTAAGAACTTGAGATTTTCCAAACAGAATTTCTTCGAATTCTGTTTGCATTGAAGTACAATATGTTGTTTTTGTGCTTTTTATTTATTTATAATATCGGACTGAGTGAAATGGTACCAGGTTCACACAGTATAATAACCTTGAGTAAAAATAATATGATTTTTTCTGCTTTTGCAATTTATTTTAATCAAAAACATGCACCACTTACTTCTATTCAAAATTTTAAATAATAGCAAAGAAAACATTTTGAACATTGCAATTTTGTTTCTTTAATTTTAACCAAATTCTGCTGCTTCGCTATCTAGCCTTAATCAGGCACTAAATTATGCAGTAGTTTT